TTTTCCTCCGAATGTTGATTTTCTGTGAAATTGTTGATTTTTTTTTCTTGTTTGAAGTTTCTTGGTTCTCGATTGCGGACTTGCGGGGATCAAAACCTAGCCTGGACTATCGCACTGCCTTTCGCTTAATTCGATCCTTTACTTGTTTGATAAGAAATCTGAATGAATGGAATCTGATGTTTATGATTACTGGAAAGTGGAAATATATAACAATCCCAGTTAAGATTTGTGGATCCAGTGTCTGCGGATTGTGCTGATTACACCCTCATGTTAAAATATTACCCTTCCAATAAAGGGGAAGAGGAGCCTGGAAAACTTATTAATCTTAGTTAAGGCATATGGGACTATTAGCTTTGAGGACTCTGCTAGCTTATATACAATACATTGATATTATTCACAAAGAAAGCGCTATGCCTCAGCTTATCTGGAGCAAACGTGAGTCGAAGGATGGGATTCTGGGCGTTCCCCATTTGTATATTGCAATCTGTTATGGTCTAAGTTGGAGTTTCCCGTTCAGTATATCATACATGGATGTTCGGAATGTTTGGTTTCTACCCTGTTCTGAAATTGTATGATCAATTTTATACGAGAGCTTCACTTCGTTTTGGGGTCTCATTCCACTGCATTTGTGTTGGACTGCATATTTCAGGTGTATGAGATTTTTTCTTAGGGTGTGGGTGTTTGGAATTTGGAGTTGCCACGACTGAAATTTTCTTCAGCATGCCTATTATATTTGATTTTCCCCTCAAAATTTATGGATTCTTTGAGTGAGAAACATTATAGACCTTTTGGCTAATCCTTCTTGATTCTTATGACAAATCTAACAATAAAATGGATTTTTTATGGTTATGCACTGAAACTTCTGGATTGTGTAGACCATGTTATGTGCTTTACAACTGTTTTTTTTTTTTTTAAATTCTTTTACAATGTAGTTTGTGGTATACTCCAACTGATTACCTTCGACCAGATGGAATTCTTGGTTCTATATAATTTTTTTTTTTGGGGATGAATTTTTGCTACATTCTTTGATATATATTATTTGTTGAAATTGAGTTTTTACACGTTATGTATGCAGGATTTGTGCTTTTCCTTTCTTTGATGATAGATAGGTTGCATCATTACATAAGAGAGCTTCGATTACTCAGGAAGACCATGGAGGCTGTTAAGAAACAGAATCGAAGTTTTGAGGATGGTAAAAACAGCAGTTCTGAAGAGCATAAAGCATTGACGGCGGAAATTGCAACACTGAAGAACAAAATAAAGAATCTGGAATCTGAATGTGAGGTTGAAGGAAGCAAGGCTAAGACTTTGGAAGCTGAAGTGGAGGCTCTGAAAAAGCAATCTGAAGGGTTCCTCATGGAATATGATCGGCTCTTGGCAGACAATCAGAGTCTTAGGAGTCAGTTGGAGGCGATTGACCAGAGTTCTACTCATCTGGAGAACAAAAAGAGCATGTGAGGGTTCAAACTCCTAAGAATGCAGTTTCAGTTTTGCTGCTTCTGTTATGTTGCCAAACGTCATGGGTTTGAAACATAGAGCATGAGGTCGTAGAGAGATATAAATGATAAATGAAGAACGGAGGGATGCTTTTGTATCTTTATTAAACTGGCTGTAGTTAAAAGCAGTTGATATACTTATTAATGTACATTTATTAATGTACATGTAATTTGGCCAACTCTTAATCCATTTCTTGTGATGTTTAGATGTTTGCTAAATGAATGCGCGCCCTTTTGTAACTTGATACCAGAATGGAACCCTAACCTTTCGGTGCCCCTTGCTTCTGCCTCTTGGGTATGTGATGGAATATTTTTGAATTAGACGACATATATACATACAGGCATACATATTTATTTATCAAAATTTGTGACAGGTTAGAACATATCTTTATAATTAACTTGATATTTGACCTAAAAAGAAGAGAGGAAAACTGTGTCCTAGCTCGTCATGCTCCTACTGAAGTTCAAGTACGTTTCACGGAGTGGTTTATCCACCACAAGTTTCACAATCTAATGAAGCATTACTTTCTAAGTAAAATGGAGAGAGTTTTTGTGCGAATTCAAAAGCAGCATAAGTTGCAAATGGAGGCCAGCTTGCATTAGCAGGCGAAGCCATCTTTGACTGTTAGCTCTTTATTTATTTACATATTTAAATATTTTTCCTTCTTCCCTTTGACCTGGCTATCCTATCAGGCTCCTGATTTTCTGAACTGCTCTCTGCATTTTTGCTACTGAATTTTGATGGGGTTACTCTTATACAACAATGAATTACTGATGCAATATAGCGGCTTTATAAACCAAAAGAATCAAATCCTTCATAATAGTTAGGGAATTGTAAATTGTTTCGCTGTAACCATCATCCCCCTCTCACTCAGTGCCATTAAATGCAGGCATGGCAAACCGTCCATTGTTGACCTGCTAATATGGCACCATCATGTTTAGCGATAACCATCGACATACCTGTCCTTTTCATTGCTATCTATTTGGGTTCACGTCTCTGCAATATGGTTTTCCCCTTCTCGTCTGATTTCATTGTACCTACAACCATCATCAACTTAATCTTGGTGATCATCATGACACAATAACTGAAAGGGCATAGTACTTTAGGAATAAAATAAGCATGTTGCTTAAAAAATAAAGAGTTATATGTAATTTTTAAGTATTTGTTATTTAATTCTAAAAGGAAAACGTGGTTTAAAAAAAAAAAAAGGCACGGTGAACAGATCAAAAATACCAACATAAGCAATCCTTTATTGGCTCAACATTCTACGATGTGCCTTTTCTGGCCGATGGATTCCATTTCTGCAGCTAATGCCGAGATCTTTTTTGTTGGCCATTAATATCTTCACTAATTGTACTTAATTGACATAAGCAGGGTCAAGAATCCAACAGGTTAATTCTAATACGACTCTGCTCAACTAAGTAGGCAATTTCGCCTTTGCCATTTGAAATCGGACTGGGACCATAAACTTGCCTGCTGATTTTTTAGAAAAAGAACCTGCGCCAATCTCGGTTACGTTTTTGCAGACTATGAATTTCTTCTGAAAAGAACATTATTCATGTATCGTATGGAGAACCTGAATAGTTCTGTACAAATGTGTAGTGGCATGCGGCGACAAATGGGTCCTTGAACCCACCGGATGACGCAGAAAATTTTGACTTGCAAGTTATCCACTCACCACTACTTCTGCTCTGAGAAGTGATAGCTTCTCCCCTCAGAATGCTTCAATATTAAAGTAGGATAAAAGTTTAGATAAGTTAGTTCTTAATTTGCAAGGGTCAAATAAGCTTTAAGGCTCAATAAGCATTTAAAGAGATGCTTATGGTAACAGGGTCTTGACAGAATCATGATTCAAACATATACCTTTATAAAGCATGAAAGAAACACATTTCTATGAACCGTACTAACCTTCCCTGTGTGCTTCAACTTTTTAGGTAGAGCATTAAAGGTGTGTGCATTCGTGCGTACAGCTTGATCCATTTCCTACATTTCAGACTCTGATTTGGCGCAGTGACCAATACAGACAAGCCTGGTTTCAAATCGTGAATTCATTTGAAGAGTCATTTGTATGCAATGCTTCACCAACTTCTGCGGGCGAAAGCGATGTGCATGGAAGTGGATGTTTGTGTGGGGGCACAAATCAACGTGACGTACCCAATAAGTGATGCTTCTTGGAAAAATCACAAACATTGAGAGAATTTTCCAATCTATAGTCTTCATGTACTCGAATGCAGCCAAGAAACTTCATTTAATATAGAAATTAATGCACGCCACTCGATTGTTCACGCGCGTTTCGGTGTTGGAGAAAATCTTCAAGTCTACAAAGGTATGAGCGTCGATATTTTAATCTACTATGAACCAAATTCCTTCTATATAGCTGCTTCGTGAGGAAACAAAGAAAATAAGGACGTAGTATCAAACACCTAATGCGCACAAGACAAGACATGAGTTTCCATCGGTAATTTTCATTCGGATCTTTCAGAAAACGATAAAAAGCAAGAAGCTCTAGAAGTTTATCCAAAAAGGGTCCGAGGAAGATCAGGTATAGCTGTAAAGTAAACTGACGACAGAGAACAGTACAGTTCGTGAATCGTGTGTGAAACAAAGTCCAAAAGGAGCAGCCGAGTCAGCACCCTAAAATTCCATTTTTAAATCGTTATTTTATTATTTGGCTGCTGTCTCCCACCCTCCGCCCGAAACAGGACGAAAAATTCTCTGCAACTTGCGCTACCCGGTCTCTGGCTTCTGCTTATAAATTTCGGGAGAACCACACCAGAATGATCGTAGCAAAACAAAACAAAAAAAAAGGCGGAGTCCCAGAAAGATTCACGACCTCATATGGCAGTCTCCATCGACGTTCCAATAATCAGCAAAATCCAATCTTCCTTAACCTCTATTCTTTCGAATTTTCATGCAGGATACTTCAGAATCAGCCTGTCTCTCTCAAGCCAAGCCTTGTTATGGAAAATCCTGAAAGAACAAATCCAAGACGCTCATACTCTCAGACATATATTCTCAGTAATGCCCTCCACGGCCTTCATTCTCCTTTGGTCCCTCTCACTACTCACACTCACGGCCCTCTCTCTTCTCTACCTTCTCAGGTGCTTCTTTCACTTCGACATGGTGAGGGACGAATTCCTGAACAGCGTCGGAGTAAACTACCTTTTTGTCCCTTGGATTTGCTGCCTAATGTTGCTTGAATCATCGCCGTTTCTTCCCCGAACCGCAATTTGTCATCAAGTACTATGGAGTGTGCTGGTGATGCCGGTGTTGGCGCTGGATTTGAAGATATACGGCCAGTATTTGACCAAGGGGAAGAGGCATCTAGCGATTGTGGGGAATCCGACGAGCCAGTTGACGGTGATAGGGAACATGGTGGGGGCGCAGGCGGCGGCCCGTGTGGGCTGGAGGGAGAGCGCGATGGGGATGTTTGGGGTTGGGATGGCACATTACGTGGTACTGTTCGTGACGTTGTATCAGAGGTTGCCTGGAGAACACAATGGAGGTGTTCCGGCGACGCTGAGGCCGGTGCTGTTCTTGTTCTTTGCGGCTCCGAGTGTGGCTAGCTTGGCTTGGGGCTCCATTATCGGCCACTTCGATTCTGCCTCCAAGATGCTATTTTTCCTCTCCCTCTTCCTCTTCATGTCGCTGGTAATTCTTTCTTTCTCATCATCACGTGTTTACAGTTTCATCATTGGGGTTTCTGCTACTGAATAAATTCGTTGGAAAATATGAACAGATAACGAGGCCGGTGATATTCAGGAAGGCGATGAGGAAGTTCGACGTGGCATGGTGGGCTTATTCGTTTCCTCTGACGGCTCTGGCATTGGCTTCGGCTCAGTACGCCGAGGAGGTTAAAGGAGCCATGCCGCATGCGCTCATGTTGCTTCTGTCTTCCATCTCCGTCGTGGTGTCTCTGTTCTTAATGGTCGTCACTGTTCTTCATACCAACTTACGCTTCTCGTAGCACTGTGCAACAGCATGATCCAAGATTTTTCTGTTCTTGTAATTTTGTGTACATATGAAAAATTCTCACGTTATAATCTCCCCCCAGAAAATTGGGGTTCTCTCATTGAATTATCTCTATGATCTTTTTCCATTTTTTGACCAGCGCTGTATGATCCTTTTTTGGTTTCTTCTTCGAGCAGTAATTGTTATCACACACAAGTAAAACTAAAAATATTATTTATTTTACTGTTATTGACATACGAGTAAGTTTATATTTCTAAATCCTCGTGTGCCAATACAAAATTTGAGATTTATTAAATAAAATGGAAAAGTAAATTCTTTCCTCAGATTTACCCTCCCTCAATTAATTATATAACTTGACGTAATCTCTGAATTTTTAACGCATCGCAGTTAAAATTAAGACTCAGTTGTATATAGGGCTTGTGGAAGAAGAAAGATCTGCAGAAAGTAGGAATAAGTCGCAAAGCCACGAGAAGGAAGAGTGCGAAGAATAGACAAAAGCGTGGACGGAAAATAAGAGAATTGAAAGCCACCATTTTTCCCTAGTTTAGTTTCCCCCCAGTTTAGCCTTACATTTCCCTAACAAGCCAGCCACCAAAATTGGGTAGAGGAATCTTGTGGCAAGTGTATAAAGGAATCTTATCGCAGTAAGGTGTTATTTATATTTTTATTGTATACAGCATAAAAAATCTCGAAACATCACAACTAATTATTTACATGCATATGATAATACTCTTGTAGTACTTAATATAGAACCTAATTAGAGAATTAATGTTGGTCCTATATGTAAAATCTATTTTATATGTTTACCAATTTTTTTTCAAATTAGCCTTATTATTATTTTTCAACAATAATTAAGTAGGAGAGGGAGGGAGGAAATTAAGAAAAATACTTAGGGTATTAAAAAAAATATATCATATTAACTAATTTAACTAATAACCTTAATCTAAGGACCCAATGAGTAATAAATAAGTAAAACAAGTTATCTATACAGTATGGAACAAGTAAATCCTAAAATAAAAACCATGTTTTTATGATGTGTTTGGTTCAAGGGGAATGGAATGGAAGGAAGGGAGAAGAAATTATTTATATTCTTAATGTACACAGGTTACCAAGTTAATTAGTCTTGCTCATGCTTGTTGTCTCCTATGATCCACAATATGCTTTATTTAGTCTTGTTTAGGGCTCCCCCCCCGCCCCCGGGCGGCTATTTATGAAACATTATATGCTCTTTTCTGTTGGCTAAGTTTTTGTTTATATTTCTAAATCCTCGTGTGCCTGTACAAAATTTGAGATTTATTAAATAAAATGGAAAAGTAAACTTTTTCCCCAGATTTCCGCTCCCTCAGCTATTGATTATTAACTTGACGTAACCTCTGAATTTTTAACGCATCGCAGTTAAAATGAAGACTCAGTTGTATATAGGGCTTGTGGAAGACGAAAGATCTGCAGAAAGTAGGAAGAAGCCGCAAAGCCACGAGAAAGAAGAGTGCAAATAATGGAGAAAAGCGTGGACGGAAAATAAGAGAATTGATCAAAGCCACCACTTTTCCCCAGTTTAGTTTCCCACCAGTTTAATCTTACATTTCCCTAACAAGACAGACTCCAAAATTGAGTAGAGGAATCTTGTGGCAAGTGTATAAATTAAAGGAATCTTATAGCAGCGTGTAAATTTTTAGTTTGCAAGCGTATGAATATTCTGAAATACATTAAGGTGTTATTTATACCTTTATTATACACAGGATAAAAAATCTCGAAACATCAGAAGTGATTATTTACACGCATATGGTAATACTCTTACAATACTTAATATAAGACATGATTGAAAAGTTAGTGTTAGTCGTGTATGTAAAACCTATTTCATATATTTACTAATTTTTTTCTTCACATTAACTCTATTGATATTTTCCAACAATAATTAAATAAGAGGGGGGGAAGAGAATTAAGAAATTTTTCTTAATCAACATGTTAATTAACATTCTTAATATTAAAAAAATCATATTAACTAATTTAATTAACATTCTTAATATATTCAAATTAGTTAATTAAGTCTTACATTAAAGACCGAATGAATAATAAATAAGCAAAACAAGTTATTTTTGCAGTATGGAACAAGAAGATCCTAAATGTTTTTATGATGTGTTTGGTTCAAGGGGAATGGAATGGAAGGAAGGGAGAGGAAATTATTTATATTCTTAATGTGCAGAGGTTACTAAGTTAATTAGTCTTGCTAAAGCTCGTTGTCGCCTATGATCCACAATATGCGTTATTTAATCTTGTTTAGGGCTTCTTCTTTTTTCCCCCCTCGCTACTTATGAAACATTATATGCTCTTTTCTGTTGGTTTAGTTTTTGGGGATGCCAATGTACGTAGTTTCAATAATTTTTAAATTAGAAAGTGTCGATAACCTTCCCACATATTGATTCGATGCTTCATTTCCCCCCCCCCCTTCTCTCTGTGTGTGTTTTTGCGCATTGACAGACATTTTTGGTTAAAAATCTTAGTGAGTGTCCCCTTCTACCCTGATATTATGCATGGAATATTTGTTCCCCGTCCTAGTTGGGATATATGGTTTCCATTTCTAATGGAATTTTTTGTTGCAGTGTGCACGGGAATAATATATTGCTTTTCTTTATGAGTTATTTCTTTCACACTTGTTTTTCTTGTGTAATCAAAAGGTCACATTATATAACAAGACTTAAAAATGAATTACTCCTCCGGTCCTTAATATAGGACCTAATTGTTGAGGTAGTTTTGGTCTTAAATATAAGAGTCATTTCTCATATTTATTAATTTTCTCTAAGTTACCCCTATGGATACTCTCTCAACCATAATTAAGTAAAAAAGGAAGAGGGGGTATTAAGTAAGATGATTATGGTATTTTAGAAAAAACATATCACATTTTTTATAATTAACTAACTTACCTAACTTCCTTAATCTAATCAAATTAGTTAAATGGGTCTTATATTAAGGATCGGAGGAGTATATTATTGGCTGCTCATGTTTAGAGGATCTCCTTGAAATGAATAATTGAGTGATATTAGTAAGTATATGCTTTCTTTCCACGCTCTTTTATGCTGTTGTCTTCATTCTATTCTGCCCATTCCAGTAGCCTCTCTCCTATGTGCTAGACTGCTGTAATCTTCATTTACTTATTCCATGGACCAGTCAAAATTAGAAAATAGATCATCTTGGAATGCAATTATAGTTTCAACATGCTAGCTTCTTCTGCTTCACAGACAGTCTCAAGAATTATGTCATTTTTTATATTTCGTTTTGGGAAGGGAGGCTGTAGAAATTAATGGGGTTTGAATCTGACATGGGCTGGTCATCAAAATTAGGTTTGAGGAATTGAATCAATTGGCAAATGAAGAAAGAAAAAGAAGTGATAAAAAAAATCAAAGTCTAATTCACTTTATTTCTACTATAAAAAAATCAATTTGTAATATTAGGAATACGAATTCACAGAATTTTTGTGATGTATCCTCTTTGTCACAAGCATATGTATTTTACAAATTATCACAAACCCAAGTTATTAACTTATATAAGTATAAATTAAGATCCGTTTTTGAATATCATGGAACACCTCTTTTTCTTAAGAATGAACTAAAGGATTATCTTTTTGGAGTACAAGGAATATCTCATTCCAAATTAAAACATAAGAGCGCTCCCAATTCTGTAATGAATCAATGGACAAATTGGTTAAAAGGTCATTATCAATACGATTTATCTCAGAATGGATGGTCTTAGATTAGTATCCCACAAATGGCGAAATAAAATGAATGAACGCCATGTGGCTCAAAATAAAGATTTAACCAAATATCATTCATATGAACAAAACGGATTAATTCTTTACAAAAAACATGAAATAGATTCATTAACAAATCAAAAAAAAATGATGGAGAATTATTTTACATGTTAAACTTCATCATTTAATTTTATATAATGTTTCAATTTAATTTTTTAACTCTAAAAAATATATTTTTGGTCATTTAATCCTAAAACTATTAGGTTTAAATAATGATTTTTTGCAGCAGTCGTAGTTGTCTTAAAAAATAAATTTAATATATTAGCATTTGAGAATATTTTATCAGTATTTAAGATCTTAATGTCATCATTTTTGTTAACAATTTCAGGGTTAAAAAACTTTTAAAGTTAAGGGTCCAAGTTAAAACTATGTATGAAATTAAAAGAATAAATGTATAACTTGCCCTATTTTACACCTACAAAACGGATTTTATGGTTTCATACACGGGAAAAAGAATTGAATATAAAGGAATAATCAAATAAACAAAATTTAAGAAAGAAAACGTGGGTTGGCGGTTCAAACGAGTTGTCTTCATTGGCAAAATGTTAGTTCATTCAGATGGGCTTTTCCAACCTGGCCCACCGAACCCACAGTTCGCTTGCGGTTACAGGTTGACTCTTATTCTTAGTCAGGTTTTTTTTAAATGGATTTTTTTTATTTATTCATATTCTGAGTTTCTTTCCCAAGGAAATATTTCGTTAATGTTTATTATAATTTACAAATATACCTCCGCAAAAGAATTACATCCCGCAGTACCAGGACTTTTTCTTGGGCCGAAAAGAACCGAGTATATTATGAAGAAACCAAAAGTGGACTACAAAAGAAGCCCAAACAAGTCAAAACTCGGCCTTTGCCAGTTGCGATGGACACCAAAAAAAAAAATTGAAAAGTTTTTCTATTTGTGCATTTTACGCCATCCTCTTGCAATATTTTACTTCAGGCCTTGGATGAACTCCTCAATTTCTCATACTTCGGGGAAAAAGGGGGGGGGGGGCTGCTATTTCATTCCTTGATCTTCCCGGCACTATCATATTTTGATCGAACCATACTTTATAATTCAATACTAATTTTCTGAGGAAAAAAAATTATTACTTTTTGTATCATTTTCTATACGGAAAATAGGCAACATTGAGTTATTCTGGATCAAAATGGAAAAGAACAAAGAAAAAAGGAGGGTGGACTCTTGAACCAGTCTCATGGCTCCAACGTATCAAACCAAACCATAAAGCAGATTCTACCAATTCTGGTTCCTGCGGTTCGAAGTCTCTCTCTTTTCACTCACTTTTTGTATTGCTTTAACCTTTCTGTGGCTAGTCATCATGTTGGGACCTACTATTATGTTTGAATAAACAGCATGTCCAAATAATCTTGAGATATTTCGTGTGGACATGCTGACAAGATCAAACCCAAATTGTTCTCCATTCTGAGGCCCAAACAACGCAGATGCTTCGACAAAACTATAAAAGGGTATGCCCAGTATAATAATAATTTTTTTAAAAAAAAATGCTTCTCTATGGACAGAGTCTTGACACAGTGGAAGTGCGTCTACAAAATCGAATTTTTCCAAGAAGAGCCTTCATTGACCAAGTGTCTTTATAACCTGCTCCTTGCTTACACAATATTAATAAGATTTGATTGAGTATTGGTATTGACTTTACTTTGAACTTTCAATTCCGGCAATCCTATACCATCCACTGGGTTTTGACAGGACTCTTGCCTTCAAGATAAATATGCAAGAAAAAATCAATCAAAATTAGTGCTTCAATAATCAATATTTATTAAATCTATGACCATATCTTGCATACAAGGTCGCCTAACCTAATGTGATATTTTGCTGCACATGAGCATATTCTTGCGATGCGTTCAAAACTGGGACCTTTATTTTTATTGATGTTGTTATTTAAGTTGGTTTAGAGTTCTGAGAATTTAAATCCTATACCCACCATAATAGACACATGAACTTACAAAGGAGCGAATGAGAAAGGGACAAGCAGAGCCACCAAAGAGCAAAGTGAGACACTGCAGCAAATGTGGGTGACCACCGTGGTTCCCTTGCGTTCATAGAAATCGACCGGTACAACTAGAGACAGCTTGGGAGGTTTTTAAGATGGAAATAAACTCTTGCGACATGTCTACCTCCTTGTTTGGTTTTTGTTCTTAGAATTTACTACTACTCTTTCTGCCAGCCAAATATGTAATGCTCAAGGCAATGTAATTAATGGAGTTTGGCCTCAACTGAAAAGTCTGTCCTGTAAAATTAACTACAGAGGAATAGAGAAAGAGATGGAGAGGAAAGATTGAATCTTGAATAAATTAATCACGAATAAGCTGACATGGAAGCTTGTATCACCCTATTAACAGTGCCTCTCTCAAAATTGTAATGAGTACTAATCATATCACTAATTTCACTAAATTCGTAATTTCCGGTAAAACACCCACTAATTCTACTACTTCTAACGTTGCTTTTCACCGACTCTTCCAAGTCATCGTCGCTGGTTGAAGCTGATGTTTCATCGATTCCTCTGATTGTGACCCAGTTATCATCACTCGTCAATCTGGGTTCCCCTGAGAACTCAGCTAGCCTTCTGATTCTATCAGAAGCAGAATTTTCGAACCTCGTACGGATCAAATTTCCGTGAGTTTCCGGTTCTTCCATGGAATTCCAAAACCCCTGCTCAAGTACGCATGTGGGTGAACTCGAATTGAGTTTTTCAATTTCCTTCTCGATGGATTTCGAATTGAATTCCGTGACGAATGGGTGTTTTAACAGTTGAGTAGCCGTCCATCTCTCTGTCGGATTCCTCCTCAAGCACTTGTCTAAGAAATCCTTTGCTTCCTCCGGTAGAGACCCTGGAATCTCGGGCGTCTCGCCGGCATATGCTATCCGGTGAAGAACCGAGAAAGGGTCCGACATGTTCGGCCACGGCGAATCCCCAGTAGCCATTTCAATCACTGTGCACCCAAGTGCCCAAATATCACCAGCATACCCCTGTTCATCCCCACGCGCCACCTCCGGCGCCATGAACATCGGCGTCCCGCTGATCGGCGCTGCCGTGTCATCAACCCGCTTGGCACACCCAAAATCCGAAATCTTCGCTCCATCTTCACCGATCAATATGTTGGTGCTCTTAATATCACAATGTGCCAACTTGTTGGAATGTAAATACTCCAGCCCCTGCAAAATTTGCCACGTATAGAACCCTACCAACCCTAAGTCGAGGCGGCCACCGTGCCGTTGAACCGCCTGAAGAACAGTACCGAAGGGCATGTACTCCATGAAGAGATTGTAAAAGAGCTGGTTATTCTCTCTACTAACATCACACCCTTTATAGGCAACAATATAAGGAGAGGACACAGTAGACAGGATACTCTGTTCTCTCTGTAAGAACTGAGAGCGAGAGAGCCCCGATGACTTGACGGCGAAGACGAGGTCAGAGCGTGAGGAGGAGGCGAGAGAGACGGTGGCGGAGGAGCCGCAGCCTAAGATATGGCCTCTGCTCCAATCCATAGTGGGAAAGCAAAGGCTTGTGAATGTACGAGTTAAGGAGCTGATGGGTGGGGTGTGAGTATATATATGTGTTGAAGGAGAAACGGGGGCACGGTTAAAGGCGATGGAGGGCGTTTAATTTTTAAAGGGGTTGGTTATAATGGTTGGCGCTCTCTCCTTCTCTCCATAGCTTTTTGGAGCCCTTTTTCTCTCTCCGGAGGTGAGAGTCGCTTCAAGGGGAGTCCTCCACGTGGCAAAATTTGGTAGGCGTTTTAGGCATCAGGTTAACCCGGTCGGCAATGGCTTGCTAATCGCCACGTGGTATTTGTTTCGTGTTCCTTAGTTACGAGCTGGTCCTGCCTCCATTTAATTGTTTAAATTCAGTATTTACAGTATATTTCCAAAGAAAGGCTTTTGTATTTCAATTTACTTAAAAATATGATATACAATACCTCACAACCCTTATTAAATCTCGTGAACAGGCCCTCATATCTTTTTGCCAGTTTTTTTTTTTTAATTTTAATTCCATCATACCAAACGGGTGGATCAAACTGGGATCTTCTTGGCAGGGTAATTGAACAAGATATATTTCTTTATTCTTTCTTATAATCGAATAAAATCTATCATCCTTTTATATAATGTATTTAAATTAAATTGCACATCATGTATAAAAGAGATTATGGACGCCACTTATCTGTCCTGTGACATATAAGTACAATATAATAAAGGGAGAATTACATTCAAGTCCCACACAAGAGAAATAATCACTATAAAGTCTCAAGTAACAACCTGAGCAGCTTGAAATAACAAGTCTTACAGTGAGAATGACAACTTCTGGGACTTGTTTTTTAATTACTTGGGACCTCATTGTAATTCTCCCAATATAATAAACTACTAAACCCTAAACCCCATTATGATAAATAACTTGTAGTTATTTAAAATTTAATTTTTCTCTTTATCATTCTGAAGGAAACTTGTATTTCTCAATCTTATTCGTTGAATCACGGGCTCAAGTTTTTCTTTTTTCTTCGTTAAAGAAAGCGATTATCGAATCAAATTGATGTAATATTCTAAAAAAAGGATAAGATGCATATCTTGTGTGTGTGGATAGCTGGAAATATCTATCAATTATTGTTAAATCCACTAAATATCTACGAGACAATATTAATTAATTATTGTCATGATTGAATATTTTAAATATTAACTGCGACAGAGTTATGTACCGTGCTTATAACATAAAATTCAAGACACTGTATCATATAGAAGTTTGAAAATAGTCATTCGAAATTTGGGAGGCGTACAAGTAAATAAATTTAAAAATAATTTTTAATTGATAATTAACTAACCTCGGTTTAATGAGTTGATGAGACAGAGATGTGTGTAGTTTTGAAGATTAAGGTATGAGATTATGCGATGTGGAGGTTAGAGCGTGGATAAGGTAGCTGGAGTGGACAATCAAATTGAAACAAAATTCTGGGGTTTGTTTCGTAGTTCGTTGGCTCCAACTTTGAAATTAAAGTTGGAGTGTGAAAGGTCATCATAATATAAGGGTGTGGGTTGAACCACTACCGATAACACACACACACGGATGAAACTTGGTATCTTTAATGTCTTGCTTTCTAATTTTAATGGCATCATAATAAGACTTCAACTTTGTAATGTGAACACACACAAAGGCTGACAAATTAAGAGTGTGTTTCTGGAGGAGAAAGAGTATACGGTAATGGTCAATTGGGTGCAGATACAGTGTTTGGCCATCCATATATGGATGTTTCCTATTCCTCCAATTTGAAATTGAAACACGCTGTGGGTCTTTTCGTTGACGTTGACTCCATCCATAAGAGTGCTCTCCTAACCTTTTTTCACGTTCCACTACTCTGCAATTAGTATTGGAAGATTCCCAGATGGCATTTATGCTTACTTTGAAACTTAATTTTTCCTCAGCAAAATTTCATGTTCGAGTTCTATAAATATTAACAAAATTATATTTAAAAAAAATTCCCTTTCTTAATTAACAAAAGCTTAAAAGAGTATTTACAAAAATATGGGTTAATATAATTTTTTTCTTCTCATTTTAATTCTAGTCTCTAAAATTTGAAATGAGTGTTTTTCTTCTTTTTGCCAACGTGAAATCTGTGTTTTTAGTTCTTCAAGTTTGAAACCAGATTTAACTTATGGAGATTAACATGTATAGACAGAGTAAGTTTCAATAACAAAAACACTAGTTTCAGATTTCATAAATCAAAATTAAAACAAGATTAAATTTTGTGAACTAAATAATATATTAACCCTACAAATGTTTCCACACATGTCGTTGATCCACAAAGTCCTGATTCAAATACATGTTATCTTGAGGACATGAGTTGCATTTTAATTTTACCAGCAAAGAATTGTTTAAATATTGAGATAATCGATGATATTGAATATGAAGTTAGGAGTGACGGAAGATAAAATCATAGATGACGTAAATTATTGAAATAAATGGCATGAATTTATGATACAAGTTAGTTAAATGGATTATTAAAAAGGTGGGTATACAATATACTGAGGTTTGAGATGACGAATGGACCACGTAGGAGAGGGTGAAAAATCGGAAGGCGAAAAGTACCAAATGGCCATTAAAAAAATAGGATATACTTCTTATTATTCCATTTTCATGGCCGCTTCTAGAAAGGAGGCCATATGATATGTCCTCAGGGGAAGCAATCATGATACTACTACAATTTGACAAACAGGGACTCACCCTTTTTTTAAAAAAAAATTATTTTAAAAAAGTGTTTCTTTTTGTTTTCAATGCTGCTTGTTGTCGTGTCATGTGTGCCGCACGAGATCATCGGACCGATGGTGATCCCCCCTCACGTCGCTCTTCCGCCAATCAAAATCAGCCTCACATTTCTCAAAATGTATCATTTCAACAACACTTCCTTATAATATTGACGCCGACCTCTTTCGCCACCATAAATGGAATGTATATTTAATATTTTAATATTTAGTGCTTATGCTTCGTTCCATTTGATCATCGTCATCATGAAGTCAGTAAATGGGCAAAACACAAGCAACCTCTTCTCATCACATATTTTCACTCGTCCATTTTATTAATTTAATGTTAATTATTACTCCCTCCGTTTCTTATTATAAGAGACATTTGATGCTTATGACATGTTCCCATATATAAAAGACACTTAAAAGTTGTCTCTATTTTTTTGTATTGATTTCTTATTTTACTCCTATTTATTTTGTCTCCAACTCATACTCTCTTTCTCTCCCACTTCTCTTTCTTTTAATAATTTAATTGTTCTCTCATACTCTCTCTCTTTATTAATGGGAGTATTGTTGGAAAAAACATTATACTTTTTACATATTAATTGTCCTCAACTAATTTTAACTGTTTTTTTTATCAATGTAATTTAGTTATTTCTCTTATAATAAGGAACGGAGGGAGTAGTAATTAAGGCTATGGTTATTCTCATTAGAATATGTTGTTTATATTCCACACTTGCCAAACAAAATCATCTAATCTGATTTAATTTTTATAGTAATAATCTGAGGCCACAAAAAATTGAATGTTTTTGAGTTTAGATTATGAGAGTCATGTCGAGAATCTTATAATAAAAAAAAATTCCTCTCTAGATCCATACACATAAAAATTTAGTTCATATAAATTCATAAGACGGCATCATTGAGTTAGAATTTTCTCTTTGTTGTTTCTACTATGATTGATTCTTAATTCAGTAGAGTGAATTTCTGATCTTCTCGAACTAAAAAAAAGGAGAGCGAACTTTTTAATAATAACTGAAAAGAACCAGCCTACAGAAGGGGGCGGCCCCACAAAGTACAAACTGGCACTGTTTTGCAGTTAATGTAGCTTATGAGGGAAAAAGAAGAGTTAAAGTGAATAGTTAAACATCGGGAAGAATTGCAATAGTTTGTCTTACAAAAAATAACTTTTAAAAAATCTCAATAATAATAAGTGAGGAGAAACTTGTTATCACAAGTTACTCAATTGTCATTAAGATTTTATAATAATCATATTTTTTCTAAAAAAATTTATTGCAATTCTCCCTTAAAATTGTATGAAAAAAAGGAAGAGACAAAAGACTGAGGCTCTGTTTGGATAGCACCCCAAACCATGGTTTGGGGACCCAAACCATGGTTTGGGGAAAATGCTACCCAAACAGCCTCTCCAAAAACCAAAACCATGGTTTTGGGTCAAAATTATGGTTTTGACTCCAAAACCATGGTTTTGGAAAAAGCAAAATTTTTTTGCTTTTGGAGAAAAAAGGGAGAGTGTGAGGATCTATATGATATGTATCTTGTTATTTTTTTTATAAACATATTTTTTTATAAATATATTTAATCTTATATTTTATAAATATATATAGACATTAATTATTTATTAATTATATTATCTTATGTATTATTAATTATGTTGGTAAAAAACATATTATTAACAATTTTATTCTTCAAATTAAAATATATCATAAAATCTATTTTTTCTGTAATTATCATATTAACTTATGTCTTTTTTTTAGTAATTTGTATATATAAAAAGTGCTTCTGATAACAACTATCCAAACACTATCACTTCTCAGAATCACTTTTTTACAAAATCTATTCTTCACAGAATCTATTTTTTCCAGAATCTATTTTCCAGAATCACTTTTTCAAACCACGGTTTGGTTTCATCCAAACACACCCTGAATAAATAAACACTCATCGGCTTGATCCCAATGTATATATGAATACAAAAATGCTTTTAAAAAAATTATTGCCAATTGAATAAAAAAAAAACTTAAATCCAACCCAATCAAATAAATAGTGGTTTATTAAAAATAAAAAGAGATTGGACGGATAAAAGGGGAGTGAAGAGTGAAGAAATGGATTGACAAAGACCACACTCTTTAACTTAACGAAATCTATGATTGCGTGCGTTAGCTTTGATGGTTTGTCCAATCTTAGGCGTGACATAAACGTTAACCAATCCCCCCTCTCCCTCATCTACCTCCATAATCATGCCTCTCTAATCCCCATTCCTTCTTTTTTTTTATATTCTCAATTAATCAATCACACACACACACACACACATGTGTGTGTGTGTGCACCTAATTAACAATAAAACAAATAAATAAATAAAGGTTGGGATGGTGTGAAATAGAAGCCAACACAAGCAATGAAGAATGGAAATGATTAAAGTGTTAAGAGACATAACAGGGACCTTACAACTCGTGATCACCAACAAGGAACAAATTAATAACACACACGCACACACGCAGAGTTCAGCGTGAATGTTGAGGGAGGTTGAGATGAGAGGGTTACGTGCCATGTCACAGCACCACCCGGCCAATGAAACGGGCTACCCGGTTACTCGCTAACCGTCCCCTGCCGTTGAACCCCTCCAATTAGTGCAACTAATTACAGCAGAGAATGGTCGGGGTTTGGCTTAGCGGGGAAGGTATAACGTATGGATGGTTAATGCCGGGAGAGGCTTAGGGCACACGCAACTCACGTGGACCTCTCTTTTTCCCCACTCTCTGAGCTTCTGGAGACGACAGGGGAAGAAGAGTAAGTTTTGGTTCAAAAAGGCAAAAGTGTGGGGTCCATTGTCAGGACCTACGACCACGTAGGAAGGTAACACGTGTGAACACAGCGTCATAAACAGCACGTTTTTTAATTTTGTGCAAATATATGTGGTCGTCAAAGTCACCACGTTAACGTTTCCATGTGTTTGGTGTCCTCCAACTCCCTAATCAATTAGTATTTGTAATTCTATCTACTATTCTTATATTTTCTTCTTATCCTTCCTGCCTCTTTCTCCATCTACCCTCCCATATACTTTTACTCATATTTCAGATATTTCATATATATATATATTAAATGGTACAGGGAGTAACCACACCTCAAATATATTAATCCCTTGGACAGGTCAATTAATTCGCATAATGTAACTTGTCTTGAATATTACTTTTTCTTGTTTGGTCAACCAAGCAGCTACGTGTCGTATTAATCTAATTGAACTTTTGCTCTTGTTCAGATTATTGACTCATTCTACAGCTACAACGGTCCCTCTAGACTATCAAAATTAATTAATCCAATACTTTCTTATTAGCAACGAGAAGGAAAACATATTTTAACAAGAGAAGCACACACACACACACACATATATATATTAATGTCGTAAGATTATAAATAAGATCGAAGCTATAACTTTCTGCTTAGCGAAAAATATATGCATTCATGTGACTAATTGACATTATTATATATAACTAACATTGCGAACGTGTCATTATATAACTCACATCTTGAGAACTGTCCCTTTTTTAATTTGACATGGAAACACATTAATATGTGAAACAACACCGAAATTTGACGTGGTTTCGAGAAAGCAATCTGAGTTTATTTTACAAATCAACTGATTTTTAATTTCGACATGTTTTTAGTTTGGCACATTCATTTGCTTTTTCAATCAACATCACGACAAGGCTTCTATAACAAGAAGATAAAATATGGATGACTGTTTCACACTAGTTAAAAAGATAAATTTAAATGTTATACAGTGACAAAATCAATAATATGTAAAATTAAAACGTAGATTGCTTCTATATTTAATGTAACCTCTTTGTCAGATCATAATAGATATATTATTGTATCATTGAAAAACCTGAATTATTGGGAAAGAAAAAAGGATAGGGAAGATCGAGTAGAGGTAACTGGTAATGAAGTCGGAGGAAATAAAGAAGGAGCAGGTAATAATAGCGATGGTGACGAGGAAAGGAAAAAAAGGAAAGCAGTTATGATTATGATTTTGAAACGAAAACGTGAAACAAAGGTTGCTAATATAATATAGATGGAGTTGGCTTTCATGAGAGAAAAAGGGCAAAAGAAGCAAGTTTCATTGGCCAAGGCATGCTTGGCGGCATATTCAGCAACTGTACTTTTCCTTTCCTTTCCTTTTCTTTCATTCTTCCTTAGACGCTCCGTTATCCCTTTTTCACTGCTCCATATATCTTCAATTATTTTCTTAAATTCCCATGTCCCGCAATTCAAATATTTATATTAAGGACCTGAAGTAGTATATATATATCTTAAGATATTGAGAGTGTTAATAACTACTCCTCCGGTCCTAAATATAAAATCTATTTTGTAGTGTAAATTACACTACAAAATAGATTTTATATTTAGGACCGCAGGAGTATCTCCAATTTTAAATGTAGGAACTAATTAAGGTGCTTACTTTGATCCTAAATATATGACTTCTTGATTGCATGTATAAAATGAAGTGACAAGATCATGACCCTTCAAAAACCCAATACGATTTTATTACAAACAATTAACTTAATTAATTTTTTAAATATTTAAAAAAATAATTATCAAACACCTGTGTATCTGTATATAAGATGGGATGGAGTAGTTAATTAATATATAATATTTCCTTATCCAAAACAAGACGGTGGTTATGTTGCTTGTTTTGTAACTCGTTGGATGCTCCTTAAATTGCTTAAATCTCGCAATTCTCGGGCCCTCTCTTTCTCAGCCACGTACAAGTGATGTACAATGACTTCTCAATGCATTCCAAAACACACGCCCTTTATATTGCCCTCTGCAATCTCCACCTTTTTCTTTTCGCATCTTCCATCAATTACTATCATAATCATCACTCCTATCTTTATCCATATTAATTATCACATCTAATCCTTTGATACCTTGTGAGTTTAATCCTCTGTCTCTTCCATCTCATTTCAAATTGCGCCAACAACGCCTAAAAATCTTCACGCAAGATCAACGGAACTAAAATAACAAATTGACATAATTTAAGAGTGGCATAGTATGAGTATTGAGTAGTGGTGTCCATAGCAACAAAGCAGAACTGTGTGTGATGCTTGGTTCATTTCATATAGAATGGAATGAAATAGACAAAAAGACTGAGTCAGTCTAATACTCTGATAAGCCTTTCGGCATATTGTGATTTCTGATATGCTGTTCTTTTTTTCTTTTTCTTTTTAATCCTTCCATTACTTGAAACATGATTCTGCATCCCATAAACACCATTGTCTTTCTTTGTCGTCCAGCCTATTAAATAAGTCGGCATGCCCAATCTGACAAAATCTCAATGCGGCCCTCACTCTCTATATTTATGTGGCCCACAAAAACACTTGTTTTCAACTTGTAATGCTGACACAAAAGTAGAAACTCTTCGTGCAGCCATTAGAGAATGTGAGAGTCTACAACCTAAGACAACATTTAAGTGTGCCACTAAATATTACAGTGCCGATATATTGTGTGTCTACGAATTAGCACTCAGAGAACAGGATACTATTTCTTGAAAAGTCCTTATTGCACAGTCAAAAAGCATGATATTGAAGCTTATATTTCACACTATTGCACATTTTTACACCACATATCATATATAAGCGTACTACGCTGATTCAGCAAATCCAACTCTGTTGTTCCCATAGTCAAACACCGTGTGGTAGCGACCCATGAAAATATCCCCAAGAATCCTGCATTTCAGAATCAGCACCATTGACTTTAGGGCTTGATATATGCATCTTATTGTTTTAGTGAGGAGAAAAGATAGAATCCATAAGCAATTCTCTGCTTTATTGAGAATGTTTTGAAAAATTCTATTCAGTGATACTTAACCGAAAAGAATGTCAAAGATAAGCTAAAAGCTATATGATTAAGAAGTAACGATAGTACCATAGAGGCCCTCGAGGAGGAGCTATATCCAAGGCTGTAAATCCACTAATGCATTGTGCTGCCTCTCCATCTCCCACTTTCAGGACATACTGATTCATGAAAACGTCTCATTAGTCATAGCGGAAAACTATGTTATATGCAAAATGCTTGGGTTTGGAAGTCAAGATACCTGGTCTGGTGAGAGTTCAAAAGCTTTCCCACCAATGGTGAATGAAATGTTTGGCATGGAAGATAAGCCTCCACATTCAACTGTTGATTCTCCATTTGGATTAGGAAGCCTATCACAGAGCTGCACGTGAGATTGAGGGTTTGAGGTTTTTGCTGAAAGGAAGCTTATTTTCTGGGAGACATCAAACTAAGGATGTTTTACTTAACCTCATTGACGTAGTCTAGGATCTGGTCTTCTGTCCCGTTTAGTTTCAGCCTATTTTTTATCCATGCCACTGCCATCTCACAGAAAGTGCATCCAGTATCCTCAGCACTTTCAGATGCCTTCTCTGTGTTATTGTCCACCACGCTCTTTATGCCCATACTGCACAAAGATGATCAAAGTGATTCAAAGCTACGGAGGAAGTGTCTGAGGCATCCTCGTAAGGTTAAGCTTTAAGTGAAGACTCATCAATATTTTTTTATACCGATCTCTAATGCATTCCCTTCCACTACAGTATGTGCAAAACACAGGCCAACCTACCTTCTATTGAAAATTTCATTTGACTTCTAAAAACATGGGTGTTAAGCATCAAACTCCTTCCTGATCACTTAGTAAAACCATATTAACGAATCCTTCAAATTCAAAAGCTTAAACTTTTAGTGAAATTTTAATATGATCTTCATAAGTTGGTAATGTTAATGCAGTCATTTGTCATCACAATATGGTTGGTTGATTCTTTTTTTTTTTTTTTTTACCAGGGATATGGTTGGTTGATTCTACCTTACGCTGTGAGTCCCATCAAAAGTACAGAAACCAATTTGAGAGCAAATTTGTTGTGGGAGAACCTGTAGAGGAAGAAAACATAAGTTGATTGACGTATTAGATAGATTCCTCCACTCCCAGTGTCGGAAAACAAAACATGTGTGTGATTTTCATCAGCAAACATAAGAAATGCAAGCAAATCATGATACCTCATTTATCAGCATATCAATTATGGTTTTTCCATACTGGTTGACTAATGTCTTGCATTCTTGGCTTACTAGTCCAGCTGCTCCAATTGCATGATTGATCTGAGCAATCACAGTCTGGAAATACAAGATATGAAGTTTTATGTTCACACAAAAATTGATGCAATAACCAAAAACTTCTATGAAACCACTATTTATCCCGAAAGTTGATTGAAAACTGAACACTGTAAGAAACAAAATAGCTTCCACAGGAACTTTAAGCGAGACTAATATAGTTGCATACGTTAGAATGGCATTAGAACAATCGCAATATATTTGATTTTGTTCTGTTTCGAAATAGTGAAAGTCGCTCTTTTCATACCGTTGGGCCTGCTAATAAAGAGGTTCCAGAATCTGCAATTGCTGAGCAACCAGCTGCACATACTCCTGAAAAACATGAAGTATGCATCTCATTGAACAGTCTCTATTCTCAAGAATACCAGAGATTATTAAGAAGATTTAGTTTAGATGGATAGACAAGATCAATTATGAATTCACAGATAAATCCATTATAAGTGTGGCGCTAAAAAGTATGTCTGACATATTTTATATTTATTATTATTGGTCTGCGGCCCACATATACAGATGGAATGAACTTGCGCAAGAAAATTTTCAAGAATATAAAATAATAGTCATAAATACCAGTTGTTTCACCACCGATCAGTACGTCTCCCATCTCAAACTGCATTGAAGGGGAAATGGTAAGGAGGAAGACAAGATGAAAGCTGAAACATGTAATTTATTGAAAAAATGTCGAAGTTTCAAAAGGAAGAACCTGCCAATAGCCTTTCTGGGTTACTGGAATATATGTGTGTTCTCCTTTGTAATGATGCGGATCAACCCCTCCAAATACAATCTCACCTCCTTCTTCCCCATCAATATTGCGGTTCAACCAGAATGAAAAAACCGGTTCTTTCAAAAGTTGTTGATCAATCATGTTGTACCTATGATTATCAGATATCACAAAAAACACAGCTTCAATCAATATAAAATATAAAATCAATAGCAAGATGCATAAGTTATGAAAAATGTGATTTGTTCCTTAGATTCCATGCAATATATAGGAAAACATGTCTAGTTGGGCAGAGCAATGAAGAGCAAAGTTCGGACTCTGTCATAAAGAGGTTTCAAACTTCCATTAAATGATCCTCATCACGTTATTAGCAAACATCCCATTGTATAAAGTTCTAGATCAAGCTAATAAGGTAAGTCTATTATATGTGCGACTCAATGAAAAGTGAAAACTATGTTTCACATGCTTCCGTTTTTATTTATGATCGACTATGTCTATAAACCTTTGGTAAACAAAATCTACCTGCCAACTTACCATACAGGAACAGCACTACCGACTGATATTTCTTGAAATCCGAGGCCAAGAATGCCATCAAACTTGGCAGCCAAGAATGTGATGCTAGGCTCTCTGGTTGCCTCAATAAAATCCTAAATAGAAGACAATATTGCAAAGCCTGACTCAGTAAATGAAATTGATGACAACAAAGGTTCCCATTCAGTAAAATTTTACCTGGTTTTTAACAATCAAATCACCGAGTCTAACATTATCCTGGCTAAAGAAACCTGAAATAGCTCCTGTACCATAATGGATCTCAGCAGATGTTCCTGCACCAAAAAAATAACAAAAAAAAAAGGACATATTTCAATATATTGTCATCCGCATGAGTCCAGTAAATAGGAGAATGCTAGAGGCATTTAGAATCTTAGAGTTCTACATAGGTTGCTAAGAATCTTTTGGACTGTAACTTAGCTTGCTTCCAGGAAAACTGACAGTCTATGCTTCCTCTTCTTTTAACCCCCCACCCCAAACAAAAGTTTATGAACAAAGTATCATAGTATGAGGTAAACATCACAGAAATGAATAGATAATAATATCCTTTATCAATATTATTATCTAAAAGTTCTCTTCTTTTCTTGACGAATCTGATGGTCAGAGGGGTTTAGTCAATGGATTTCTTCAGTCACATGCAAGCACACCCCGACTTATGGATGTCCAAGAAATAAATTTCAATATGTGTTCTAGTTAGAAATAGCCCATAAGGATAAGGGGGGAACCAATGGAGGAAACCACAAGGTGATTTTTTGTTGGCAATTCAAGAGAAATGAGCTATAGGTTTGTACCGTTTTTGTTGTAAGAGCGAGACAGGCTTGACTTGTATCTTGAGTGCAAATAACAAGCAATCTGCGATGAGACAGAATCATTTGCTTTTCTTATGTCTATCCAACTAAAAACAAACGCTTCAGCATGGAAAATGTAAATAATGAAAGAAACATTGAGAATACTTACTGAAAAGTAGCACTTAGAGGAAGGCACCCAGAGATTGGAACTCCCAGTGTCGAATATTACAGTGAACTTCTGAGAAGGAGTTCCAATACCAATCTCACCAAAATACTGAGCATTTATATAGTTCTTTAGTCCAATAATACTTGTGTCATCAGAACTCCTATATCTTCCACTGGAATGGTATCTTTCAGTTACTTTAAATAATACTCCTTCCCTAGATTCAGCTTGTCTCGTAAGCAGATTGCTTTGATCCAATTTATTCTTTTTTAATCCGATTCTGATTAACCCATTACTGGGTGCAGAGAGAACAACTGGGTGAAGAAGCAGAAAGAGAAGAGCAACCAAAGAACTGCATTTTGAAGCCATTTTTGAGTTCTGTAGCATATGAATCAGTTAGAATACAGCCCCGGCAAAAGAACAGAACTTTAAACACAGACATGAAAAAGAATTCCAACCAGCGCAAAGGATAAAAACATGGAGAATGGAAAGCAAAGATAAGAAAAGAAAAGAATGACGAAGTTCTTGAGTCACCCACCTGAGAATACACGGAGAGAACTGAAGCAGAAAACACTAACAGAGAGTAATAAGGAAACTTGTTTGCTAACCCCTCTTACCAACGATATCAGCTACCAGTCCCACGCTTATCCGCCATTCTTGTTTGTCAATCTACCGCGAAACGCAAATTCAGAATCGTCATTGCTCTAGTTTGTTTTTGGGAGTATTTGGGCCTTTTACTGTACTAGTTTTGCTTTGTTACTGGCCACTAGCCCATAGAGTGGGACCGAGGTCCGTTTTATTTATATGAAGAGATCAGGCCGCAAAAAAGAAAAATTCTTTTTTTAAAATAAAAATTGAAAAAAAATTGTCAGCAGAAAATTGAAATATTTATTATATTATAACTACTTGATAGTAATTAGATTTATTTCTTATTCAAAAGTAATTTTTCATTATGTTTATTCTATTTAATTATGTGCATCAAATAGGTCATGAGATTGAGATATTAGAATTTGAAAATTCATCCCTCAATTCGGAATCTTAAAAACCGCAGAGAGGATTTTACAAACTGAAAGATAAACCCTACTTTTTTTTTGGTAAAGCATAAGATAAACCCTACTTAAGTACACATTCTGCCTTTTTTGTATATATTTATAAAATCTCATGTGAGCCATCTAAATATGGGGTTACAAGTCACGTCATTTCTGTCCCTGTGAATCTTATAAATGGCAAAACACAAAACGCCAAAACATAGTAATAAGAAAAAGGATGTTGGGGAATTTTTTAGTTGGGGTGCCGGCATGGTGATGGGAATTAGTAAAGAGTCGTCGTGAGTTAAAAAACCTTCGAAAGAACATATTACATCCATTCTAATTATAAGAGTTAGTTAACTAATTAAAAAAGATTGAAAAAATAGGCTAAGTTAATTATTTGTAATAAATATGTGTTGTTTTTTCTCAAATATCCTTGCTAATCAAGTGTATCAGCTAGAATTAATATTATTAGAAGGGCTATTCTGAAAAAAATATATATAAATATGAGAGATAAAGTGGATTGGGGTTTTATATTTATAATCAAAATAAAAATCAAATAAAATCTTATATTAAAGATCAGAGATAGTATTAGGTTTTTTAGATGTTGCTCTAACTTAACCTACCATTATTTATAACCTCACATCATCAGGACTATTCAATAACTAAATGGATTGAGTAAATTCTAAACCCCGACCCTAGCATAATTGACCAGTAGGCCACACTCATGAAATATTTTATTTAAATCAAGATTTCGTAGTATCTAAAATATTCTGACATGATTATAATATTACAAAAATATAATTAATACGTAGGATATCTAACACAAAGAACAACAAAAACGAGCTCAAGTTAATAATGTCAATATAATAAGAACTGAAAAGAATCAACTCAAGTTTTTGAGCCTGACTCAAGAAAAAAGAAATTAAGTCAATCTAGACCTAATCACCTATCTAGCTTCCAAAAAAATTTAAACCGCTGTTATTTCCACTAGTAACATTGCCATTATTATCACTGTTAACATTCTTTGGTAGGGTAGAACCCATGATAGAAGTAATGGCCGCCGTTAAAGCTGCTGTGAGGTTAGGGTCAGCTGCTATAGCTGCACTCAATTGCAAGGGGTCTTTATTATTCATTTGAAGTCCTGAAAAATTTGATTGATTGTTGTTGTAAAGTGCTTGAGCCAACACCTGGGTAAAACCATTAGGGGAATTATTTGAGAAAGGCATTTGAAATTGGGTAGAAGGTTGTGTTGTTGGAGGAATGGTTAGATCCAATGTAACCGTTGGAAATGGAGCTGTGGCCGAGAGAGTTGCCATGTTACTTGAAGAACAAGGAAACAATGTCGTCCTTATCAAGAAGCTTCCATTCATTAAACCATCACTACTTGACATTGATCCTGAAAGCAACATCCTTGTCGCTGCTGCTGTTGTTTGTGCCATCGCCATTGCTGCTGGAGGCAGTGCATGGTTATGATTTCCTTCATATGTTGTTACCAAAATTGTTCGATCCTCTGCACACCTTTGCACCTGTAATTTTATCCCCAAGATTAATAAAATAGTGTTCTATTTTCTTTTACAAAGAAAATCTGAATTCGAATGAAATGAGAGTTTCAAGAATTAAATTATAAAATGCACAGGCAGTGAGACTCATATACATTGAAGATTATCTGATCTATTTGTAAGATAATACTACCTCCGATCCTAATTATAAGAGTCAGTTGACTAATTTGAGGAGATTAAAGAAGTAAGTTGAGTTAGTTATTTGTCCTAAATAGGTGTCGTCTTTCCTAAAATATTCTTGCTAATCAAGTGTATTGACTAGAACTATCATTGTTAGAAAGACTACTTTAGAAAAAAAAATGTATAAATATGAGAGACAAAGTGGATTGGGGTCTTATATTTAGAACTAAAATAAAAGTCAAACAGGGTCTTATATTAAGGACCGGAGGTAGTATGTAACAAATTTCTTATAACTATGAAGCATCAGTAACAAGAAATTATAGTTATGAGAACAAGTAATTACAGGAAGAAAAGATGCAGTCGTCCGTTTAATTAATCTGACTGAAAAATTCTGAATAATCATATACACTTGATTTGATTTGATCATATTTATGTTTTAAAAAATGCTGAAACCAAATTTGCCCACATTTAATTTATTTTAAATTTTGGGCTCATTGTTAATTCATTTTTGAATCTGTCCCTGGATTTGAAAGAAACTGAGTTGGGCACTTGCAATGGTTTATTAAAAGAAAATGGATAGATAAATACCTGTTTCCTGACAGGACAACCTGAAGCCATGGTGCAACGATAATAAGCTCGAGGGCATGGATTCCCTTTGGCCTTCTTCTGCCCATATTTTCTCCATTGACATCCATCAGTAATCTGATTATCGCATTATTTAATCAGCAGCTTATTAAATTCACAATAAAAAAATTAGCAAGTTCGTAAGAAAATAATCCAGACATAATGCTATATATACGACACACCATGGGTGCTTCTGATCGAGCTCTAACTGAAACTCTTGCCTTCTTCATGGTGGCTTCCAGCTGATCATCAACGTTTCTGGGAGGACTATACTTCTGATTAATTTTGTCAGCTTCTTGTTCACTTTCAGTTCCTTTGTTGAATTCCTTCTCATCAGAACCAATCTTGGCCCTACATTCCACTTCCAAGGGTGATCTTGATCTGTCATTGCTTCTCCTGACGGACGAAGAAAGCGAATGTTCATCACTATTAGCCTCACCATCATTGATTGAAGCTAATCCAAGATCTATAAATTGCCTTGACACTAATGTTCCTCTGTTACTATCTGTTTGTTTCTTTTCTTCTGAACTCGCATCAGGCACTTGGTTTTCTGGTTTCTCAGCGTCCTCCCTGCCCTTAAGAGACTCGATGAAGTCTGTATGCATCTTCAAGGCATTGTAATTAGTATTGACCTCATTTAGCATGTCTCTCAGCTTACTGTTCTCTCCCATCATCTGGTCTAACTCAGCGCGAAGAACAGCAACCTCATCAATCTGAAACATACACGTAAACGATATATTTAAACCCTAAAACAAAGAGCAAGAATCACCCAAAAGAAAAGGTCATTCAGTTCACTGTCACATCTAGGTTTCTCACCTCAATATTGGCTCGTTTCACGTTACCATTAGGATATATGGAAAATTCATCGTCCACCAAGGATTGGTCGGTGTTAGTGGTCAAGAGACTGAGACCAGTCTATATGACGGAACAAGAAGCAGAACCAGAGTGAATATGAAACATATATAGAGTTATAATAAGGTTAGATCAAGAAGAAGTGAGAATTAAGAACTCACGTTTACTTTGAATTCAAGAGGATGGGGAGGGGTAGAGAAATCATCGTTGGAAGATGAAGGCTTGAGATTGCTGTTACTGAAGAAGTCCATCTCTGCAGGGAAAGGGAGGGAAGAGTCCATGGGAGGTTGAAAGGCGTCTTCGAGAGGGAAAGAGTTGAGAACAATGGGATTGAAGAGGAAGGAGCTCCTCAAAGCTGGATCGGAATCAATGGAGAGTCCACCCCCTCTGGCCATGAGTTTCTATAGAGAGATGAAGAGAGAGAGAAGGGAAACAGATCGACGAAGACTAGGGAGAGAAGAGAAGTCTTGAAAAGTTAAGCAATGGACTCGGCATTAAAAATGGAGGAGCAAGTCCCATCAAGTGTTCCCAAGAAGAGGCTCAAGTGATTGTGACCTTGTTTGTGTCTTGCGTTGAACAGTCAAACCCTCCCCATGCCTCTCTTACACCCTTTTTTAATTTCTTTCTCAATTTCAATTCCTAGTCTTCCATTTCTTTTTAAAATGCTTTTCTTTGAAAGTTTGGTCAAAATAATATTTTAAAATTGGAGATTTTCAACAAGAAAACTTCTCTCTCTTTTTAATTAAAAAAAAATCCACAAATCAATTCGTTACACGTGTACTGAATTAAATGATTTCTGTTCTATTAATTTTAAACTTCAAAATATTTGGAAAAAAAATATGACTTTTAAATGTTCTAGTTATATTGTCTCATTTTTTTTTTTTTAATTGGCACAACACGTATGTTTTGAGAGAAACATATGTACTGCTTATTTATCATTTTTAATACTCTTTCAATTCTAAATATAAGATCTATTTTATAGTATAAATTATACTATAAGATGGGTCTTATATTTAGAGCTGAAGGAGTATTAAGAAATAATTTGATATTTAATTTAGCCTTAAATATAAGGTATCAATTCATTTTGTCTATTATTTTTATTTATTTTTTTAAGGATAGTCTTTGTAATAGTTACACTTATTAGTTCTACCTGATATACATGATTAATAAAGATGTTTTAAAAAAATAATACCTATTTATTTTACATAACTGATTTATCTTTTTTTAATCTACTTAAATTAATTAATAAAGAGTAATAATTAACAAGAGTGGGAAGGGGAAGGCGCGTGGGTCGTAGTCAACGGTTTCACAGGAAGCGGGGCCCATAACACTATAATTTTGGACTTTGGACGCGTGAGAAGTGTGGAATCGATTCGAGTTGAGCCGATCACATAAAAATCGCATCTGCGCTAAATGTTGTTACTACTAGCTCGTGTTGCTGTAATTAGTCTGTCCAAGTATTTTAAGTATCAGCAACCGCCGGTCAAAGTCAACCCTCCCCCTCCTCTCTTCTTCTTCCACGTCATCACCAACCCATTCTTCTCCCATTTTTCCGAAGATCTAGCCTTGCCGTATTATTATCTCCCATCCTAATTATAAAATCTCACTTATAATTTATAAATAAGATTTTATAATTAAAATTGAAGGTAACCTCATATATCTTTATCTCCGTCCACACATATTACACCTGTTTCTATATGGCTATTTTCTAGCTCTGTTATTAGCTGTAAAAACTTTTCCCTCCCTTATTTTCAAGCTTCTTAATTAAAATAAAATAAATGTGGCTTTACTCTTCCCCAAAAGAAGGAGTCTAGGCGGCTACATTTAAACAAGGTACTAAAACCAAAAAATTCAGTGTATTAAAATCAAACTGGTGGGGATTCAAATGTCATCGATTTAAATTGGACGAGGTCAATATCCATGGTGTGACCTAAAAATAATACTACTTCTGGTTCTTAATATAAAAAATAATTGATTAATTTAAGTAGATTAAAAAAACTAGTTAAGTTAGTTATTTATAATAAATATTATTTTTTCTAAAATATCCTTGTTAATCAAACGTGTTGGCTAGAACTATCATTATTATAAGGACTATTTTGAAAAAAGATGGATAAATATGATAGATAAAATAGATTTAGGTTTTATATTTAGGATTAAAATAAAAATCAAACGAGGTCTTATATTAAGGACTGGAGCTAGTAAAATCAAATTTAAATACATAAAAATAATATAACCCTAAAAATATTAGTATTTAAATAAAAATTATTACTACTACTACTATTTGTAACTAATTTGATGATTATTTTGCATTATTGTTCCTAATTTTTAATATTAATTGTTTCATGTCAAACATATCGTGCACACTGATTATATGAATCCAAACATATCATCTTACTTGTTAACCGTAGTTTCATAATTAATTGTGAGGAATTTAGTAAAAATAAGCGCAAATCAAGATCTATTACATATCTACCGGGAAGCTGCAAATGTTTTTTTATAATTTGTTTTTCATGAAATTGAAAAGCATATTTTAAAAAGGAAATTAAAACGTGATTCACATGTGTTAATAACACGTGTAGTCTGCCTACAAGAGATGCCTTTCACACTTTTCCTTCTAACCAGACAGAAGGACCAAGATATACGTTTACTTTTCTTTTTAAATTCCCCAGTGAACAAGTAAGGCACAAACTTCGACGTTTTCTAATACTTGTGTATATAAAGATAAGTAAGAATTAGGTATTTTCTTTCAAAAGGTGCTAATAATCAAGTGCTGTTGTCAAATTTCGCAAACCAAGATTTATATGAGATTTTTTTTGCTCAAAAGATTTATATGAGATTAAGGGTATGTTTGGCTCAATGAGAAGAAGGGGAGGGGAGGGATTTTAATGGAGGGAAGGGGAGGGGAGGAGAGTGGAAGGATTTAATATTATCTTGTTTGGATTTATAAAAAGAGAGGGGAGGGGAGGGAAAAATATTTTAATATAGATAATTTTGTTTTTATTTTATTTAAGATATGGGTATAATGGTCACAATATAAGAAAACATAGGCATAATAGTCACAATATAGCAAAATATAGGTATAATGGTCACAACATGACAAAATATTGCCCTTTCCCTCCAAATCCTCCCAATTTTGGAGGGGAGGGGAGGGAAAATTTTTTAAAATTTTCCCTCCCCTCCTAAAATTTGTGTGTTGCCAAACAAGGAGAAATGATTAAAATCCCTCCCCTTCCTTCCCCTCCCTCCCAAATCCCTCATACCAAACACACCCTAAGTAATTTATTTAAAAAGAGGTATTTAAATGAAACCAACCATGCTTTTTATTTTATGATATACGAAGTAAATATGTAAGAATAATTTTGTCATGACTAATGTGAAAGTACTTCTAAAATGTGTTTTTTGCATGTATCAAACCACCCTAAAATAGTAATGGTTATTCTTTCTTCTACCACTCCAAATCTTAATACTCCCCCGATCATATATTTAAGCTTCAAATAGCTGAATCATATTAAAAGAACTAACATTTAAAATTAGTTAAAAATAATAAATAGGTCAGAAATATAATTTTTAAAAAAAAATTTGTCCTTATTTATTAAAAGAGTAAGTGAGAGGGGTAATAAATAAGAAAGTGATGAAAGAGAATATACAAGGGTAACATTAATATGAGAGAGGGAACACTAAATGTAGTTAACTAAGGGCAAAATAGAAAAAAAAAAAAGGTAATAAATGCTAAAAAAGCTAAAAAAATGAAATTTATATTCCAAAAATAAAATTATATATAAGACTGAGGGAGTACAAGCCACTTGTGATATATGCGCATGTTGAGAAAAATGTAGTTATACTAAACGAATAGGCACTTTATTGCGGTGCGAGTGTTTCTTGGATCTCTCGTATTCTTCGTGAGACGCGTGAATACACGGGCTTGGGCGTAGTGTGTGTTGCGGGGAAGGGAAATGGACGAGACGTCTGAATCATAAGCTGACACGACATTATTGATTCATATGCAGCTCTACAAAGGAATGGCCACTGACTTTCGAATACTCTGGGGTCCTTTCTTGTTGCCAAATTAAATTAAAAGGCATCATCTTCCATTCACACGCACAAACACACCCTTGCCAGCTCTGTGCCACCCACGCCTCTTTGCGCTAATTGTTGTTCAAATTTGATCCAAGTTTGTGTTTTTTGAGGAGCCGTGATAACTGATTCAACAGCAGCAATTTTCAATGGATTTCACTTTTCATTGGCAGTATGTTGAAAGCAAGAGGAATCAGATATAGAGTGAGAGAGAGAGCAGAGGCAGAGCCTTTTGGCTTTTGTGGCGTTGGGGGCATCCTCAACAATGGTCGGCAATCACATTAATGTTGTTATACCGCGACTCTGCATTCTGGGACTACGCTCCTATGGTAACCGACATTGTTATAACTTTCGAGTCTCATGGTCTTCCCTCGTGGCCGATATTGCTGACTATTTCAAACATAAATAGTGTTATTGTTCTTCTTCTTCTTCTTTTTCAGGGTTCAAATATGAAATCACAAAAAGTTCAAAGAAATAACACGATTGTAAGGCTCACTTTGGTAGGAGGATGAGTGTCATTTATGGGAAAATTGGGAAAGGGGAGAAGACTTCCATGAAAAGTTCCTCCAGTGTTTTCAAATTAAACATTTAAAATCATAAGCACTATTTTAATATAAAGCATATGACTAATATTCTTAAAAGAAATGACATTTAAATATTTTAAAAAAAATATTTTTAAAAAATTGAAATTAAAAATATTTTAGGTCAAGAATAGATAAAATATTCAAAATATTTTATAACTTAGAATAAAATTAACAATATATTTTTTTTCCGTCTAGACAACAAATCATTCCCCTTCCTTGGGTGAGAATGGATTCCAAATTAACAAAATAATCCGCACCATAGAAGCATCATCAGAGATCAAATCATAACTACGAGTCTATGGGTAAAAGAAAGGTGTTTAAGGGGAGTGTTTGGCAGATCGAAGAAAAGTGATTCTAGGCCCAAATTATGGTTTGGGCTTATTTGAACACCTACATTTTTTTTCAAAACCTTAGTTTGGACCAAACCTAAGGTTTTGTCAGCCGAAACCAGAGAAGCAAAATGAATTTGCTTCTGGGCAAAATTTTGAAGACCATTGTGTGATGATTATTGCTATCAAATAATATATGACAAAAAACACCCCATATTCAATTATTCAATTATAAACTTCCTTCTGCCTGATCCTCCAAAAGTGTTTTAATAATATATTATTCAATTAATAATATATGAAAAAATAATCATTTTTCTATAAACAGATTTATTCTTATATTTTATAAATATATACACACATAGTAATTATTTATTAATTATATTTTCTTATATATTATTAATTATATTGGTAAAAAATATATTATTAACAAATTTATTTCTTTAAATTAAAATATATTATAAAATCTATTTTTTATGTAATTATCGTATTAACTTATACTTTTTTTTAGTAGTGTACATATATAAAAAGTGTTTCTGATAACAACTATCTAAACACTCACTTTCAGAATCACTTTTTCACAAAATCTATTTTTTCAAGATCCATTCTCAAAAATAACTTTTTTCTCAGAAACTATTATTTAAATTATGGTTTAGTTTTATCCAAATACCCCAAAGTAAAAATCAAATCATAACTTTAAAAATAATTTTATTATCCCCATTTATATAAAAGTCTTTTTTAAAAGTACTTTTAAGACAATCCAAACACTCCAGCGACAATTTGGAACAGTGTACGTTCAGCGAAAAACATAAATAATTTATATGATGCGCGTAAACTTCTAGAAACATTCTACAGAAATAACTTCCTTTTATTTTATATCTATAAACTGAGCTTAGTTCAGACAAAATATGTACGTGTGTGAATGCAATGAAACAACAGAGTGGGTCGGCTTTGTCCATGCAAGTTTACTTCTCTGAGGATATTTATTACCGCACTCCGCAAGTCTGAACAAATATCCATGGCATGCAGAGCCGAGAACAGGAACTACGCACAACGCCACAGGCACTAGCCAAGGCTATCTATCAACATAATTATCTGAGACACAGGCTGCTCAGAAATACTGCTAAATTTCTCAAAGACGCTTCCGTGCATGGGGAAACAACGCACGGATAACAAACACGCAAACTATAGAAAGTGTCAAGAGATAAAATATAGCACATGGCAGCCATATCCAGGTCATTTAGTTAGACAAATAACGAGTCATCCACGACTCGAAGCGAGACCAAGCCAGCTGAACTGCGGCTTCATCTTCATCAGGCAGTCCCATGCTCTTCCTCCTCTGGATCCCTTCTGGAGACCTGTTCATGAATGCATGTGCGTTGCCAGGATACAAGTGTACCTCGTATGGAACTCCAGAAGCCTTCAGTTTCTCCTCTAAGGCCTTGGCAGCCTGAGACATCAAATGATGACAGAAGACAGCATAAGTAGCTTGGATAGTTAATAGTTTTCCATTCCTTTGACCCTCAATTGTGAACATTCCCATTATACACCATCCTATATTTTATCGAATGCAATGATCTCTAAGTAGCGCTAGGTAAGCTAAAGCAATGGATGACAATACTCCCGGAAACAGAAGCAATACTACCTTTGGTCCTTAATATAAAATCTTATAATAAGGACCGGAGATAGTATCTAACAGAGGACATAGATAATCCCATACCGTGACATCCGAAAAGCCGACAAAATTATCCAGCTCCCCAAAGTGAGACTGAACAGGAACCTTGGCTTGGGAAGGGTCTGCAAGCTCTGAAGAAGGGACTCCATAGAAAGCTACAACAGCATCAACCTCTGGAACCAAAACAGAACCTGCAATAGAGAGAGCCCCACCCATGCAAAATCCAGTAACACCAGCCTGTGGCAATGATTTTACATTTCGTTTAAAAAAAGGTCTAGCTTCAATATAACCAGTATGTTAATTTAAAGTTTGTACTATAAAATGAAAGTAAAAAGCACTGATCAAATCATAACTTTAAGAAAAAAAGACAAACTAATGATTTGCTCGGTATTTGAAAATATGAGCATGTCAACAGTCAGATTTAAGACTTGTGACAGATTGTTCCCTACCCATAATTATTTAAGCCAGTAAATTTCTGTATAACAATATCAATACGATATTATGATCACTAAATTATTTTTTAAATTAACAAAGAAAAGAATGAGGCTTTGGAAGACCACAAGCGTAAATTGTTTAGAGGCTCAGCATTGCTGCCTTGTTGGATTTAAATGTAGGAAAATACAGATTTGGGATAAAGACATTGCAGTCTGCAGCATTAACAAGGCATTATTCTTAGAAACTTCACCCTTTTTAAGCAATACTTACAGCCCACAGCAGCTAACCATTCACTACTGTACAAGTCAAGTCATAAGTAAGACCCACAATAATCTGCTTTCGAGTCTTATGCCATGACTACTGCATGGACGGATGAAAACCTGAAGAACCTTCCCAAACTATGGAATCCACACGGCAGTAAAAGCACTAAGAAGTGACAAATTCTTCAGAACTGAAAATAAAAAGGTTGATAAAAAATTTATATTTACAGTAACCGTGGTTTCATAGATGGCCCAAGACAGGACATTTTTAAATAAATGAGCTTTTATCCGGACAAAACATGAACAGTGGCAAACCTTCCTTGAACCATTGGCTTTAAGCCAGTTGACTGAAGCACCGATATCCTTCACAGCACCTTGCCAATCAAGACCATCCATCAAATGCTGTGCTTCTGCAACATCCAGACCAACTTTTCCTCTGTAAAGACTGAAAAAGAAGGAAAAACCCCCCACAGGTCAATCCAAGTGCAACCTATAATATGAACTGATGCATAATGAAATTTTAAATCTTTAGTAAGCACCAACATCTTACTCTGGAATAAGAGCTTTGAATCCAGGACCAAGCTGAGAAATCTTCACAGCATGGTTCTTAATTTCATAGTCCACACCCCACCATTCTTGGAGCACAACAATTCCAGGAGCGTCTTCTTGGCCAACAACATAAGCATCGAATGTCTGATCATTGAAAGGAAAAAAAGAAAATGAAGTTCTACTGCATGTAAAATAACATAGCAAAACGTGATAGCATACCACAATAAAACTTTAGGTACGACACGATGACATTGGTTAAAAAGGAGTTTGATCTAAAGCACAACAGACCGCATTACAGCTAAAAAGCATAATTAAAAATTGGGCATGGGGTCTTATTAGCATAGCATATGAGATATCACCATCAGTTCCTACTCCGTTACTTACTTGATCAGCCCGAGTCGTTAAACAGAAACTCTTAGGTAAATATAGCCGTTTCCAAACAGAGAACACACTTAACACCAGGTAAATGGCATCAGTCAGTCATCTGACTAGGTTTAGAAACTACTTCCTCGATGTTCAATGGAGCAAAAGGAACAATTTCGTAGTAGTATTTTCTCATTCGAAGTTGGTCCACAGACAACCATATAGACGGAATGTGAATAACGTTGCAAATGGATGTACGCATACTAGTGATGGGGTCGTCTTGGCACACCGACATGCAAAATAATGTATTTTGACCGCTAAAAGAAAGCACGGCGACCTAGTACTAAAAGCCTAGAGTCACCAAGCCAAATTTTTATGGATCAGATTAATTCTCAATTCCCAACAGCACCCAGACTCAATAATATAAAGAGAAAAGAAAATGACAAAAAATATTTATCCATAGGCGTAAGCCAAACACTGAAAAGACAAATTTGGCCGCGATATAAGTCGGGCGATGAGTTCCGAATCTACCCAGAAAAAACAGTAAACAAGTCAAAGTCGTGAATGAAACACTCGAGAAACACAAACTGCGATAAATTAATAGAAATGAAAAAGAAATCAGGATGCAAACAAGAGAAAGAGCAAGAAAGACGAAAAGAAGGAGGGATACTCACAGTGTCGTCCCTCTGAATCTGAATTTTCTTGAAAGGGGAAGACGCAGAATCAGCCATGGAACGGACTGAGAAGCGGGAAACGAAGAGGGGAATGGAGCGGGAAACGGGGAATGGAGCGGGAGACTGGCGAGGGACTGCTCTGAGGACTCTGGAAGCAGCTACAACAGTGAACATTCCTCGCTGGGGTTTCACTCCACTGCATTCCCGGTCTCGCGCGCATGCTAGATTATTTATTAAGTGGGAGAATTATAACCAAATTTATAAATTAATTATTAAGGAAGCTTTTAAATATATCATACATATAACTTAAAATTTTCCGATAAACTAGTAAACATTTAATATTCACACAACACAAATTTATAATTAAAGTAAGTAACAAATATTTATCAATTTATTATATGATTTTTAAAATAAGAAACTGTCCACCCTTCATGTCTAATCTACGTTTCTACCATACAGGTAGGAGACGCTTATTGAATCTTCAGCATTTTTTTGGCTGATTTTTTCCCCCTATTGCTGATCAGGGTTTTAACTATCTCTTCTGCATGATGTAAGAATCTGAGAATTAAATACTAATATCCAGTTTTAATTATAAAATCTTATTTTTTATAAATAAAATTTATAGTTTATAAATAAGATTTTATAATTAAAATGTATCGCGTATTTTTTTTTGTTTTTTTTATGGGATTTTAACTCACGCGAGAGATTCCCACGCCGCCAATAACAACACTGCTGCGAGAAGAATATCACTGGTTACAAGGCCATTATCGAAGCCTTCACCTTTGGAAAACAAGAACGGACAAGATTAATTTGATTAGATTAAAAAAGTTAGATAAGTTAATTAATTATAAAAAATATGATATGTTTTTTTTTAAAACACTATAATCATCTTTCTTAATATCTTTCCTCACTCTTCTACTTGATTATAGTTGAGAGAGTATCCAAAAGGATAACTTAAAAAAATTGATAAATATAAAAAATATCTCTTATATTTATAACTAAAATCAACTTAATAATTAGGTTATATATTAAGGATGAAGGAGTATATTCTTTTTACCTTTCGGCTATCATCAGAATGCAGTACAAAATAATATTCGTAGTTCTTCTGATATTATCAATAATTAAATAAAAATGTTTTTCGCTTGATGACTCATTTATATTTTTTGTTAGCAAATTTTTAAAACGGGAAAACCATATCATAGATACCTCTACTTTTTCTCATTTTTAATTTGGTACCTATGTGTTTTTTCCTCTTGATTAACCATTTAATTTTTTTTAGTAACATTAGCTTTCCCCTTCTTCACTTTCCCCTGCTTCCTCGCGTTCCTCTGCGAATCATGCTTCACTTTCACTTGGTTTCTCTGCTTATGCACCAGATGGACTCCGGCCCTTGTCACAACCTGCCCAAGCCGCCTCCTCCAACGGTATATCTGCTTATGCATATTGTTAGCCATTTCACATACATAAGCTTGTAATATGTGGGGTTTTGATTATCGTGGCTTTTGTGGCTGGGTTATGTGAATAGGGTGTCGGAAATGGAACTTCCGGCGGTGGACATGTTCGTGACGACGGCGGACCCGGTGCTTGAACCACCCATCATAACCGTCAACACTGTGTTGTCTCTGCTAGCCCTGGATTATCCATCTCATAAGCTAGCTTGCTATGTTTCTGATGACGGGTGTTCCCCTCTCACCTTCCACGCCCTCGTTGAAGCCTGCAAATTTGCCCAGCTTTGGGTACCTTTCTGTAAAAAGCACCATGTTCAACTAAGAGCTCCTTTGAGATACTTCTCCCACTACAAAACACTCACTGGCGCAGAATCACCGGAGTTCAAACAAGAATGGTTGAGAATGAAGGTTAGTGGCTTAAGAACGAAAGGGTTAAGAGCTCATAAAGTGGAACGTTATAATATATCACTAGTGGCTCCCGTGCTTGGCATACGTGTAATTTAAGATTTAATTTCAATTTATTCTGTCTCTGATATTTATCTATTTAATATAATTAAAAAGAATATTTTATAAAAAATAACAACTATTTATTACAATAACTAACTCAATAAATTTTCTTAATATTTACAAATTAGTTTCATATTTCTTATGTTATAAAAAAAAGGTAGTACTTGTTAAAGTAATGTCGGCTCCAATCTGTCTCTCCATGATATGCACCAAGCACCGTATAAGTTCAATATCTGATAATCGAGATTATCGCATCGGAACCTTGGCCATAGCCAGAGCTGAGGGGGTGGGGTGGGATAAGAAATAGTGTAAGAGGACAAGGAAAGAGGTGGAAATAAATAAATAATAAAAATAATGGGCGTTATTTTTTGACAAAAAAATATCGACCTCAATATGATTAATTTAATATCAATATATGTAAATTTTATAATAGGATAAATAAACATCATGACATTTTTTTTGGACTGAATACACCATGACATATTTATCAAAGAATTGTGGGTAATATAGAGAAAATGTATTTAATGAAAAATTTAGAATGATCTATACTGTTGCTACTATTTCAGTGGTAAATGTGTACAAATACGCCTACGATAATATTTTGTTTGTTTGTGGGGAGCGGAGCAGGATGAGTATGAGGATCTTAGGCGCCGAATCGAACAAGGCCCGGCTCAGCTTGACGGAGACTTGGCAGATTTCTCGAATACAGAGAGGAGAAATCATCCAGCCATAATCAAGGTAGGTACTTGAGCTTTGTGTTTGCGAAAACATCTATATTTTGCTTTTAATAAATCATAATAATCGCGTTCCACAAAAGTTAAATAATAACCCATGCTAATCCAAAACACACACTTACTCCTTTTCAATTTGTAGGTTATATGGGAGAACAAGAAAATAACTTCAGATGGGTTGCCACACTTGATATACATATCGAGAGAGAAGCGCCCAAAGTATCCTCATCACTACAAAGCGGGTGCTATGAATACACTGGTAATTAAATTGCCATTGTCCTCTCCGTTATCTTCGATTTATTCACTAATAACACGTTAGACGTTCATTGATGCGGTTTTGTGATGGATACAGGCGAGAGTCTCTGGTTTGATGACCAATGCTCCCTACACTTTGAACCTTGATTGCGACATGTCTGTGAACAATCCAATGATTGCTCTCCATGCCATGTGCATTCTGTTGGATCCCAAGAGCCAAAAGGAAGTTGCTTTTGTTCAATGTCCCCAGCATTTCTGTGGTGCGTTAAAGGACGACCCTTTCGGAAACCAGATGGTGGTTTTGTACAAGGTGCGTCCAACTTCAATCAAATATCAAAGCTACCCACCAACATTATAGTCTTCCGACTTTCTTAATTACCATCCATCTGTCTTATAATTTACATGTTTTCTCGTTTTCTACTTTTTAACTTATACAGTACATGGGGGTGGATTGGGAGGAATCCAAGGACCTTTCTATGCGGGAACAAATGCCTTCCATAGAAGGAAAGTACTATATGGTCTTTCTCCAGAAGACGTAGAAACTGGTACTAGTGAAACATTCATTAAATTAGAAGATGATATCTTCATTATATTTAGAACATACTATAGATATATAGCCGGATAATATAAATGATCGATTGATGGTTTTTGAGAAGTTTATAAGCCATGTTATGTTGTACGTATCTAATAATAAATACAACTTTTAAGCATTCCTAAAAAGCTAAGGAAAGATTCATTTCCTACAATGGCTGTTTGCAGGAAACATTTCAGATGAGGAGTTGGCTCAAATGTTTGGAGGTTCAAAGGAGTTGGTGAAATCAGTTGCTCTCACTTTCAAGGACAAAACATATTCTCCTAATCCAAATGTTTCAAAATCTCTTGAGGAAGCCCACCAGGTCGCTTCTTGTGGATATGAATATGGCAGTGGCTGGGGTAAACAGGTCTGCAACATAAACTAAATATATAATAAACTTTTACGCAACTAAATACATGAGTTAGTCCCTTAACTGAAATCTAACTTTCCTCTTAACGTATCCTTCTAAAATTATAAACGTTCAATCTAACAAAGTGTTATATCTTGTCCTTCACATTGATTGTGGAAACATATCTGAATATTTGCAGGTGGGTTGGATGTATGGATCAATGACCGAAGATGTGCTTACTGGACTGACAATCCATACGAAGGGTTGGAGATCAGAAACGTGTACGCCAGACCCAACTGCATTTTCGGGGTGTGCCCCAGAAGGTGGGCCTGGTTCACTGACACAACAAAAAAGATGGGGCATAGGCCTCCTTGAAATCCTTTTCACTAAGCACTGTCCAATTCTGGGCATAATTTTTGGCAAGCTACAGTTTAGAGAGGCCATGGCGTATTTGTGGAGCACTACCTGGGCTGCTCGCAGTGTGCCTGAGTTGTGCTATGCTATTCTTCCTGTTTATTGCATCATTACCAACTCCACTTTCTTCCCCAGGGTGAGCACACATGAACGAGCCCACCCTATTATCGTACTTCTGCGAAGCTTAGACTTCAAATGAATTTATGTTTTTTGTTAATTTGTTCAAATGACTATTAGGGACAAGGCATCTGGATTCATGTTGCGCTGTTTGTTGTTTACAACACACACACTTTATCGGAGTACATTGCGACTGGACTGTCACTGAGAGCATGGTGGAACAACCAAAGAATGTCGAGAATAGTAGCCATGCTGCTTGGCCTTTTTCTGTTTTGAGCGTGATACTGAAGCTCCTGGGAATATCTGACACAGTATTTGTAGTGACACAGAAAGAGCAATCCGGTTCTAGTGATGATGAAGATGCCGGTAGATTCACGTTCAATACTTCTCCAATGTTCATACCAGGCACCAGCGTTTTGCTTCTGCAATTAATAGCTTTGGCCATAAAGCTGTTAAGGTTGCAACCAGCAGCGCAGGGTGGGGATGGCTCAGGCGGAGGCGAGCTCTTCTGTGTGTCATATATCATACTGTGTTATTGGCCATTTTTAAAAGGGCTATCTGAGAAAGGAAAACATGGGATTCCCTTGTCCACTGTGTTCAGGTCAGCAGGATTGTCCTTCGTTTTCGTGCACCTTTGTAGAAGGTACCATTAAGGGTTCATGATGCTTCTCTGGTCTTGAATTTTCTAATATTTTTGTCCTTTCTAGTTGTGTGTAATTTTTTATCTTTAACTGTTTCCTTCGAGGCTGGAACCTTGTTATCTGTGAGTGTATCTTGTAATTACTTTGTCTTTGCAAAATAATTTGTTG